GATATATATATATATATATATATATATATATATATATATATATATATATATATATATATATATAAATAATAATTACAATAGAGGTTCAGATTTTTTAATCCAGTTTTAAGTTTGAAGCAATATAAGAAACAAAATCGCCATGGCTGCAACAACGGGGGTTAATTCCGTTACGCCACGCCAAGATACGTTTGTTTTTATGCCTCAAACATTAAAATACTAAAAATTCACCATAACAGATTTCAGTCCTTTCATATCATCACAGCCCTATATTTAGACACACTCCGATGTTGGGACCTGTCTTACATTAATACGGAGTAATAATTATATATATAATATAATATATAAAATAAGTATCATATATATATATATATATATAAAGTAGGGTTTTTTGCATGACGTGGACGATGACAAAGCAGCTCACAGAGATGATTTTTGATTACTAGGCTTACACCCTGCCACCACACATTCGAATAGACTCTGCATATTTGCTTTAGTCCATCTCCCTTCCATTTGGACAGTTAAAAGACCTTTCTTCTTTTTGCCTTCATCCTCACTTATTTCTTAGGCTATTGTGGTCCTCAGAAGTCGGCAATAACTTCATCATCGCTTCCAGGCTACTCACGATTCCGAGGGCGGTTGCGGAACCGGAATTCTCCCCGATGAGCACGATCGGGAGATTCGAACACGCGAGTTTCGGGAGGAGTTTCCACAAGGACAATGTCACCCTTCCGGACGCCGATGTCGGAAGAATATGGAATTGGGGGAAAACACGAGGACAACGGTCTTTGATTTGATTGGGCGTCCCTCTCTCTCCGATTGAAGTCGTCTGTCTCCGATTGAAGATGCCTTCGTCTGGTTCCGTCTCCCGCTCCTCGATCGAAGAAAAGACCCAACAATCAGGTCCCCCATACTCTACCTCTCTACAACTTCATCTCAATCCCTGGGTATTATCTTTCTATTTGAAGACTTCCAACATATCACTGGATTTTGCTACTTTTTTTTGCCTAATTGTTTGAATTGAAAAATGCAAGAATCAAGATTGCACCCTATTTTTGCCTAATTTATTATTAATGCAGGCCCTATTTTATCTATATGAATCTGACTTGATGATATGAGTTACTTTTTCCAATTGTGCAAGTGTCATATTTTTGAAATTCAATTTCTCATTTTTATTTATTTATTTATAAACGTAAATACCAAATCTACCCAAACTGGTTACCTCAAGGAGCTTCAAGAACTTCTTTGGTTGTCTCAAGATCCCGTCTTTGCATTTTCTTCATTTGCAAAGGTATTTTCACAAAAGCTTAGTTTGCAATTCTGGATAACCCATACAAATTCTTCTAAGACAAGCTCATGCACTAGAGGTGGGTCACCATACTTAACACAGCATCTCAAAGAAAGAGTAAAGATTGTAGTCAATATTTTTTCTTAATTAAATATATTTTTTTTAATTATAATCTTTGGTGTTTTCCCTCAATGATGCCAGGAAACAAGCTCTGCCTTTATGACAAGCCAAGCAGCATGACTTCTGCTCTACTTTACAGCTTCCTAACTGTATGCTCTGTCTTAATTTTACTATCCACTTCTATCTCACTTACCCTTTGCACATTTAATCTCTGTAAATATTAGCTGTGAATGAAGAGATAAAAGTTTGTCGAGAAGAGAAATAACCTTGGAAATTGCACTATCTTTTCTTAGATAAAAATCAAGTTTGACAGAATATAATAATCCAAAAATGGGGGCTCTGGTACTAAATGAGAAAGAGAAGTAGAATGAGAAAGATGTATTTACACTATATGGTAGGGGTCTAGCAAATAGTAAGTTCATCCTTATGCTTAAAAGGTTGATGGTGGATACAGTTTTGGTATATTTAGCCAATACACCAACAAAAATTGTTCTGGATAAAAATAATACAATGCATAGTGGTGATTGACTCTGAATACTTTAGAAGAAACGTTGTCCTTAACATTTGTGAGTAGCAAAGTTGCATATGGACCCTTTGAGCTACAACCAAATAAAGATTGCAATTGTACCTTCAAGTTCAGAGAGTTGAGATGAATGGGTTTCATAGAACTTTTAGGTATAACCACATTGGAAGTATTCTAATTTATTGAAAAAAGTATTAGGATTGGAAAAAACAAAATAGTAGTGAATTTAAAAAAAACATGAGAATGAGCATATATGTTTAACATATGTATATGTTTATCAAATGATTATAAGCTTAGATGTTTTTTTCTACCATATGTCTTTGTTTTTTCAAATAAAACTCACTTTCAAGCTTATATATGTCAAGCTTCGCTTGACATATAACCCCCACTCATACGAAATCGATCGCTGAAGTCAATCGGAAGAGGAATTGAAATTCCTCGGCAGTTAGGCTACGGTGAAGTATTTAAAGAGAAATTAAACACCGGTTACACATCAATATGGAACATAGGGTCGCGAACACCTTTTCCAGGTTTCCAGTTGTCCTCTTCAGGCTTCCGGGGTTAAGGTGAGAGAAATTTAATTCATTTAGTGGGTCTAGGTGTATTTACTTGCAATGAAATTCAATTATGAACGTGAGTGCCTTTTGGGTGTAGGTTCTTAAAAATTGACTAAAGAGCAAAGCAGAGGAAAACCATAGGACCCGGGTGCATTTATGTTGATACATCAAAGTTTTAATTCTGCAATCTGTTTTTAGGTTTTCTCTCATCCATCAATAATTATTATTATTAGTATTATTGTTATTGTTGTTGTTGTTTTTGTTGTCGTTGTTAATTATAAAATACAAATGTATTTGTAATATAAGAAAAAAAGAAGTCCAAAATGTGCATAACAGAATTGGATTAGGATCAACCCGGTTTGACCTTCCAAGATTTGGTGATAGAGAATAAAGCTTCTTAGAAGTGATCCAAGATGTTTTTAATTGGTTTGGTTTTGAAATAGCATGTTAATGTTGTTCTTGGTCAGCTGATATTTCATAGCTACCCAGTTAACTTCTTTATCTTCTTGAGTTGTATTTATGCTTCTTATTTTTTAAATTCATCTACTTTTACTTTAGAATTCTGACACACTGGTCGCATAAACAGATAAGTAAGGAGAAATCAATGACACGTGTGGAGGACAAACGGATGTTCAAAGAGGCCATTGGAGCTAATAAGAAAAGCATCTTCAAGACTTTTCATCTCAAGGTATAATTAAATTTCCAGACACAAAAGTCGGTGTCCTCCCTCTTGAGAAATAATTTTGCTACTATTGTCTTTAAACTTTTCTTATTCTGCTACAAAATTGAAGCCAAACTTATTTTAGATTGGCTAAATTGTTTATTGTTCTAGGATGTTGCCAATTATATGTATTACCTGCAACAAATTTGGATTTTGGAAGGATCTATACCTGAAGAGGTATTAAGGGGCAAGAGATAGTACTATGCTATCTCAAGTGTTTCAAACCAATCCCACCACCCGTAGATTTTTTAGATGGCTATGAAATCACCGGAGTGTATATAATTAAATCCCTAAAAGGTAGTATATAGTTTCCTTATGAGAATATAAAGGTAAGCTGGAATATTGGTTTCCATTTACTTCAGTGAGAGTAATGGTGATTTTTGGCCTCATTTTTTCCTGGTTGGGGCATTTCATAGCTTGGAATTCACCTGTTTTTCTAGATAGGCAGTAAATACTGTATATCACAGTTCACTTTTCTCCCATTCCTAAAACAGTCCTTATACTTATAAATGAGTAGTCATAGACTAATTATATTATTCTAGACACTATAAAATCTGCAGGCTGTGATGATTATTAATAGAATTCAAGAGTTTCAATCATAACCAGTGTCTTGGCGTGGCAGATCTATATTTGCAGTCATGGTGGGATTAGTTGATTGAAAATCTGATTGAGAAAGGGTGAATTCCGAGCCTCATAACATCTTTCTTTGAAGATGAGTTGAAGTGGTTGAATTTATTTCCACTTTATACAATAATCTTAAATAACATTAGTGTCTTTTCGTACGCGAGATGCATCGAGAGAAACTTTCATCTGTCGAAATCTTGATAGGTCAGATATTATGGAGTTGTTAGATTGAGAATTAAATCCCATAAAAGTGTGAAATTTTTTCTTTTATTCTCATTCTTGAAAAATTGTTGATGCTCTACATTGTTGATATTGATCCTGATTATTGAGTATGGTATTCGAAACCTATGTCTTACTTGCTTTGCTGAATAATAATGGACTAGATATTAGTTAAATTATGGCATCACACTTAAATTATATTTTAATATTGAAATATAATTTTATAAAAAGTGAGATATAAAAGATTAAAGTATAATGTTATACTACCTCCGTCCTAAAAAGATTTACACGTTTTGACTAAAGTTGAAATTAAGGGAGGGATAATTTTGTGTTGACTTTCCAAAAATACCCTTGATGTGATGGGTAAAAGTAGAATGTGATGTGTAGTTTATTAGGAAAAAGGTATGATTTGATAGGTAGGGTTTGAAAAAGTAAAGGGTAAAAATGGTTTTTTAATAGAAATGAGTAGGAGATTGTGGGATACAATTTTTTTGAAAGGTGTAAATCTTTTTGGGACGAAGGGAGTATAACTTAAGATTATATTTTAAGATTTAACTTTAAATTCGGTGCGGGTAAAAGAATCGTCATTTTAGTTCTGTCTCTACTTCTATTTTAATTGTTGTGTTCTTTCAATTCTTCCTTTTAACCTTCCAGTAGGGTAGGAATTATGATTTGTTGTTCTTTTGTTTATATTTATTTGTGTTTTTCTCTCACAATGATGATGAAGATGATCATATTTATTTTTATTTAGAATATGATTTGTTAAACAATACAATTTTTAGGTGGTTATTCAACTTACACTCTTAACAGAATTTTAATGTGGTTATTCAACTTCCTATCTTAATCTTGCTTACCACATCATCATAATTGTGACCAATTTTGTGGTTGTGGGGCCGGTGCTTGAATTTATATATCAATGAAGTGTCATTTGTGGATAACATTATATGCGTATTGTGGCAAACTTTCTGACCTACTAATAATCATTCCTTTTAGGATGGAGATTTGGAAGTCACATTCCCTGCCATGCTTGGCAACTTGATCGGGCCATCGATATTTATCTTTAAGGATATTTGAAAGGAGAGATGTTTGCCTTCATTGGCTAGCTACCTTATCCGTCATCAATATCTATTTCGTTTCAAACTTCCCAATTACAACATGAGTGCATATAGTTAGAGTTTAAGGATGACAAAGATTTTTGAAAAATCTATTTTAATATCTTTGGAAAAGTCACATGTATATTATTTCTTCATTTTAGGAAAATCCTTATATACATTTCATTGGTTTCTTTTTTCCTTTTTTGCACACTGTTGGCCTCACACCACAATCCATATGCAATACTTCATATCTTTATTGACAAATTCGGGTTATGGGACAAGATATGTTTTAAAATCTTTTAGTAATGATTCAGTTGTTATGTTCTTTTTCCCACATAAGCTATCGTCCTTGGCTTAGTAATGAAAGGTCGGTATTGGTGCATTGCTCTATTTTTCTACCCCTGTTATGATGTACTTGTTATGATGTACTCATCACGGTGATATTGCATAATTTTTTGTTTCGTACATATACATAGTATATGGTTGGGTGTACACTTAGAAATTATGTACACATAAGTTTCTAATTACATTTTTTAAATTTTGTTGAAGTTAAAGGTTCCAAAACAAGATTTCTATTTTCTATTCGGGTTTCCATTTGTTTCTCAGCAAAAAATATAGGTTATTTAATTACTCCTCAGCTATAACATCTTATACTAAAGCTTTTATTTTTACTACAGTTCTTGGGAGACAAGTTGTGCCTTCTTTATTTGAAAATTCATTTAAGGATGCAATACAAAACATAGTATTGCCTTGAATGTATAAGGGGAAACACTAAGTATATAATTGGGAAAGAAAAAGAAGAAGATACCCTTGATCAGTGGTAATTACGTGTGTTTTTTCATTTTAAAAAGTGAATTCTAGGGTTTAAATGAATTTACTCTCATATACTACATGTATTTATGAAGAAATTGAAGTTAGTTTTGTTGAAAAACATTATTAATCTAAACACAACTCAAGGCTAAAATGTTTGTATTGTAAAAGTAGGTATAATGTCTCTTGGCAGTTCAATATCAATGACATTTGGCTGGAAAAATACTCATTTTTTCATTTACTCTTTTTCAAACCCAATTATATGATTTTACAATCTATGAATACAAATCTTTATTAGTGTTGGGGTTTAGCTGCCAAATATCATTTGCATGTCTTCATGGAGTCAACTTTTTTGGTTTACTATATATAGTTACATATTGGATAGGTGAAAAAAGAAAGCTTATTATTAGTTCTGTAAAAGTTTAGTTCTGTTTGGTTGTGCTAACTTCTATTTGTAGTTTGATTCTTTGTCTGTTTGCTTCAAAGAGTCTTAGGTTTGGCTAATTAAATTATTGGTGATGAAGTTGGAGGATGTATATACAACTGCTGTTTGCTACACCTTGGTACCAAAATCTATACTCAAATTTTGACCAAGTTGTCCTTTGTTGGAACTACACTTGAGTTTAATAAGTTTGAACATTGGTAAGGATGTTTTTTTGGTTTGTTTGCGCTATCGTGCTGTAGTCGTTGGAACATGAGAGTTGAAGTTTGGTTATAATGCTGGATTTTTTTCATTTCCTTTTTTCCTCTTTTAGTTCAAAGTGACTTCGGTTCTATCTCTCTTACTATTTATTTTCACTTCTTATGAACTTCTACATGGTTCCTACACTCTTCTACATTTTTTAATAAAATTGTTTTTTAAAAAATTAAACTACAACACTACTGAATATCTTAAATCTGGAGTTCTTTAAAATATGAGAACTAACATACTTATAAAAATGATTAGTTCTACTCGAACAACACATTACACCTTTGAGTATTCATCTATTTTGTCCATCAAATATTCAAATATACATTTAAAAAAAGAAAACAACACTCAGCATAAATCACGAGCCCGTGCGAAGCACGGGATAGAAAACTAGTATGTATATTAATTCTCTGGAACAACAAGGCGAGTGATATATATATATATATATATATATATATATATATATATATATATATATATATATATATATATATATATATATATAAACACATATGGTATACGAATATTAAATTTAATAAGAACACACATTATTTGGGTGTTCTTATTAAAGAACTTAAACTTTCTTAATAAGAACATAAGTTAATGGCAGCATGGTAATTAGTGCCACAAGCTTAATTATAAGGACTTGAAATATGAAACCAGAGAGTAATATTTATTTAAAAAAATCAGAAGTATTAATGCATGCTTCAGTTTCTTGAAAAAAAATGAATACAAAACCATACATCTATAATTTTTAAAAGTTATTGCAACTATGCATGCTTTAGTTACTAAAAAAACTTAAAATATATATTTTAAAACGATATATCTATAATTTTTATACATATTTCTCCGATGCATGCGCTTTTTTAAAAATAAATCAACATATCTAATATGAAACCATAGATTTATATTCATTTAAACAGATTGCATTCAAGCCTCGTACAGTTTAAGTTTAAAATTCCAATAGATCTTACTTTAAAAACTATTTTTGAAAATAATATCTCATATATAGATATATTTAAAAATGCATGCATGTCTATAACCCGGTAGATCTATCCATCTGGATCAGAAATTTTTAACATTTAACAAGTAAGATTAATGAATAACAAACAGATCTAGGGTTTCATATTAAAGTATGAAAAAGGTAGATTTTTCAAAGCCGAAGTTACAAGGAGATAATTTTCACACTGAATTGAATACAATTACCCGAAAAGGAAGGTTTTTGCCGGAGACAAAATACACAAAATCACATCGCCGCCAGTGATTTTACAATCACACAATTGAGATACATCACACGGCGTTCAATATATGTCGATTTTGTGTATCGACGACTGAAGTCGTGGAATTAAAGAAGTAGTAACGGCCCATTTTTTTTGGGTTTTCAATTACAATTTATATTAAAAAATAAATTACTTTTAAATAAAAAAAATAGTGTATGAATTATACTTTTAAATGCTACATTTTGAAAACATAAATTTTTGAGAAATCGAGAAAAAAATATGTGGCTCAAGGTAATCTTTATGTCTAATCGAATAAAAGAAAAGATTTAACAAATGCATGCATCTAATGTGAAGAGTTGAATGTATAGCTATAAAGCTGCGTGCTTCATCATTACTCTTTATGAAAAACGAAAAAGTAAAAGCTTGAAACATTGTTGCTTTATGTTTTTGAGAATTGAGAAAAAGAAATGTGTGGCTCAAGGCAATATCAATGTCTAATCGAATAAAAGAAAAAGGTTTAACGAATATAAGCATTTAATGTGGAAAGTTGAATATGCAATCATAAAACTGCGTGCTTCATCGTTACTCTTTATGGAAAAACGAAAAAGCAAAAGTTTGAAAAAAGCATGCTTTATGTTTTCGAGAATCGAGAAAAAGGATTGTGTGGCCCAAGGCAATCTTTATGTCTAATCGAATAAAAGAAAATATTTAACAAATATATGCATTTAATATGGAGAGTTGAATGTGCAGCTATAAAACCACGTGTTTCATCATTACTCTTTTTGAAACACTGAAAAAATAAAAGCTTAAAAATGCATGCTTCATCATTGCTCTTTATGAAAAACTAAAAAAAATAAAAGTTTAAAAAAGCATGTTTTATGTTTTCGAGAATCGAGAAAAAGAATTGTGTGGCTCAAGGCAATTTTTATGTCTAATCGAATAAAAGAAAATATTTAACAAATATATGCATTTATTGTTGAGAGTTGGACATGTAGCCATAAAATCGCGTGCTTCATCATTACTCTTTATTAAAAACGAAAAAGCAAAAGTTTGAAAAATGCATGCTTTATCTTTTTGAGAAAAACAAATGTGTGGCTCAAGACAATCTTTATGTCTAATCGAATAAGAGAAAAAATTTAATAGATATATATTTTTAATGTTGAGAGGTGGATGTGTACGCATAAAACAACGTGCTTCATCATTACTTTTTATGGAAAAACGAAAAAAGCAAAAGCTTAAAAAATGCATGCTTTATGTTTTCGAGAATCGAGAAAATGAAATGTGTGGCTCAAGGTAATTTTTATGTCTAATCAAATAAAATAAAAGATTTAACAATATGCATTTAATGTGGAGAGTTGGATGTGTAACCATAAAACCGGGTGCTTCATCATTATTCTTTATGGAAAAATGAAAAAAGCAAAAACTTAAAAAATGCATGCTTTATATTTTCGAGAGTCGAGAAAAGGAAATGTGTGGCTCAGGATTTAACAAATACATGCATTTAATGTGGAGAGTTGGTTACCCCTTACTATATGCTATTTATACCCATGAAAATTTAGTTCTCAGTCATAGTTAGCTATACCTAAGTCACTTTTTGTGTTACTAAACTTAGATTTTGGTTTCTATGTTCAACTTCGGACATAAATTTTATATCAAGACAATAGCTTGAAGACAAAAATTAAAATCGTTGTTTCAAACATTTGTTTTTTAGTGTTAGGAATTACTATTGGTTAACTCAATAACTTATGAATATTAAATACGTAAGAATTTCTAGAAATAATTTGTTTCCACGAAAATGTGTATATTCACATAAAATTTATGTCCAGTCCGTGCAACGCACGGGTTCGAAAAAAAATTGAGTCATTGCCTATTATATATTTCTATCTCTGTCTCTGAGTTTTTGTCTAGGTTTGACTTTTTTTATTATGTATTTTTAACTTTTGATCTATTATTAAATATAATATATATTGTATTTTTATTAGATAAAGTAATATTTTGATAATATTTGATATTATAAATCTAATAAATTTATTTTAAGATGTGACAAATATAATAACGAATTTTTTACGGTGCAAGGCACAGGTAAGAACATTTTTTGAGCTATTGCCTATTAGATATTTCCATCTCATTTTTCTATCAATATCTAATACCATTTTTTAATTTAAGGTCAAAATTTACTAATTTTACGGAAAAATCAAATGTCGACAAATACTCAATGACGGAGTGAGTATATTTATTGGTTAAGTATTTACTGGCCCGAAAAAACATGGATGAATTATATGAACATATTTTTATCCCGAGATTGTTGACAGGGAAAAACATTGGTCAAGAAATTGTTATCCCGTGATTGTTGCTTACACCATCGGATGCAAGAATTTCTTTTAAATTTCAAAGGAAACAGTTCCCGATTATGATTTCTTATGCTATGACAATTAATAAAAGTCAAGGACATTCATTGACGCATGTTAGGCTTTTACTAAAAAATCTGTATTCAGTCATGGCCAGCTTTATGTGGCATTTTCACGAGTCACTACTCGCAATAGATTAAAGATTTTGATTTGTGGTGAAGATTCTGCGACATCTAATAAAACTGCAAATGTAGTCTATAAAGAAGTTTTCTGAAACTTATTATGTTATTTTATCACATTGTGCGTTGTTGTAAAACTTCTCCTATTTAATATATATTATGTATCCTCTTTAATATATATTACGTATCTTTGTTTAAAGCAAATTTTATCTTTTACTTCTATCAATGTTTCCCTTATTTATTTAGCTTTAACTCAGACCGTGCAACGCACGGGTTCGAGTCTAGTAAACACACAACACACACAAATAACTGAGAGAAACGGAACACAAATGACACGCAAGAATTTAACGTGGTTCGGTCGCCAACTGCAACCTACTCCACACGAGGCAACAAGGAGGATTTTATTACTTTCACTTGTGGTGTCTCCCGGAATTAAAATTACAAGGGCTAATATATAAGAGAAAAACCTAGGGTTACAAAACATGGGCCGGGCCTATAAGTCAAGCCCAAGCCTCCACAAACCCAACATTCTCCCACTTGGAGGCTTGATAGTCATCAACTGCCATCCACCACGATTGCCTGTACATCGAGTAATCTTCCTCAGCTCTCTTGTTGCAGCGGCCCTATCATCAGGCAACTGAAAGGCCCGTTGAAGCTCTCCCAAGCTCCAACACATCAGTCATGGCTAAATCTGCCCCTGACTCATCCTCAGTCCCTACCGACTCCCACTGCAGACGCACACTGCCAGATCCTGGAACATCTTGAGAACAAACACTCTCCATACTCAGCAAGAAATTTTTTAAAGATGTTCCAACAGTTAGAATACTGGTTCTCCTGACCCACTGTCTTCTAGGAAACTTGGCTGAAGCGCCTCTTGAGCTCCCACTGCCATAAATACCTCTAACTGGCCTCCTCGAACCTTTCCTCGCTCGTTCATCCTGAGTCCGTCCTGTGGCTCTAGGTTTCTCTCTTGCATAGACAACCTTATTCTGCCCACGAGACTCTGTGAACCAGACTTTGTTTCTCTTTTTAACTGGGACGGTCACTCCCTTAGACGTTAACCCAACCATGTACAGCGAACCACTCTTCCTTCTGCGGGCCATGACAAGATTTCCCTTCAAGACCTCTCATTGCCCATTTCTGAACTTCACCTCGTGTCCCTGTTCGTCCAATTGCCTAACAAGAATCAAACTTTTCTTCAAGGTTGGAACCACTCTGACATTCTTCAAAGTCCAGAAACCGATTGGGGTCTTCAGCACTATGTCACCCATGCTCGTCACATCAAGAGCTCTGTCATCTGCTAGTCGTACATTTCCAAAGTCACCAACAACTAGATTCTGCAATGCTTCACCGCTGTGGGTAGCATGAAATGAAGCACCAGAATCCATGACCCAAGAAGCCACACTACTCTCCACACAGCAGATAAACAAATCCTCGTCGCTCGCGGAGCCTCTAACAATGTTCACTTGCTTATCCTCTTTCGGGCACTGATTCTTGAAATGCCCCACCTCCTTGCACTTACAGCACGTTACGCCTGAGCTATCCCAAGTCTTTGATTGACTCCTTCGTCTGTTCTTGCTCCCACTACCTCTATTATTTCCTCTGCCTCTAACGATATTTAGTGATTCTTCTGAAGACTCACTAGAACTCCTTCTTCTGACATCTTCTCCAAGAACAAGGTCACGAATCTTCTCAAATGTGAATCCGTCAGGTCCCGCTGAACTGGTAACTGCTATAACAGTTCCGGACCAACTGTCAGGCAATGACGATAACAGTAGTAAAGCTTGAACTTCATCTTCGAACTTAATGTCCACTGACAAAAGTCTGGCTAAGATCGAATTCAACTTGTTGATATGCTCGGTAACTGAAGTGCCATTTTTCATCCTTATGTTCACCAGCTCTCTGATCACTTGTTGGGAAATAAACACACAACATACACAAATAACTGCGAGAAATGAGAGAAACGGAACAAAAATGACACACAAGAATTTAACGTGGTTCGGTCGCCAACTACAACCTACTCCACACGGGGCAACTAGGAGGATTTTATTATTTTCACTTGTGGTGTCTTCCGGATTTACAAGTACAAGGGCTAATATATAGAAGAAAAACCTAGGGTTACAAAACATGGGCCGGGCCTATAAATCAAGCCCAAGCCTCCACAAACCCAACAAATATTGCCAGAAAAATAACATACTTCTTTCGTGCCATAAAGATGTTCCCATTTTGACCTTTAGGAAATTTAAAGAAGAAATATTTTTGTTGACTTTCAAAAATTATCTGTGATGTGATGAGTAAAGGTAGGTTGTGATAGGTAGATTATTAGTAAAAATGTATGATTTAATAGGTAAGTTAAGAATTAGTAAGGTTAAAGTGACTTGCTGTATATTAATGACCATAAAAACTACGTAATGAAAACATCAAGGCTGTATATTACCAAAAATCAGTGACTTGCTGTATATTCATTCAAAGAACCATTACACTGGGTATGCCATTACAAGGTTGTGTTTTGTCCAAAAAATCTAGATAACTATTACAATAGTGCCATCACAAGGCAGAGTTTTGTGCAAAAAACCAAGATAACTATTCAATTAGGTTGGCCATTACATGTTGCAAAACGACTGCGGACTACATTATAGCAGGCCACAAGCATTATGCTAAAGTAGATAACTATGAAATAAGGTTGGACACTGAGATGGGTTCTTTCCTTTAGTCTTTCCTCCTGTTTTGGCAACTTGGGTTGTTGTTTTCTCCTTTCCCTGACAGATTGAAAAATAGGTAATTATCAAAACTAAAACAAAGAAACATAAACTGGCATCTTATTCCCACCAAGTTCTAACCTGGCATGGAGCAGCTTTGGGGATATGCTTTCTTTTATTACGCCCCAATGAACCACAGACAGTGCACTTCATTTGTATTGCACCTTTCCGGCTTAACATTCTCTGGTGCGGTTACCTGAGAGCTTCCTTCAATATCCCTTGCTTTGTTCTTTTTTTCTTCATAAGAGTTTCAATCTCTTCACCTCCTTTTTTAGACCCTCCAGAGAAATGTGAAGTGAACATATGTGCATGCTCAATCTTCCCTTTCAATTTAGCTCGAATCTTCGGGCATACATCATCTCTCAGATTCTCTGATTTTTTAGCTAGCCTTTCCATTAGCTTCGTCTTAATCATCTCCAACATACGCAAAATGCCCATCTCCCTAGCCTCTAGAATGTACTTATCAAATGACTCAGAGAGGTTATTGGTTAACATATCACATTTGATGTGTGTCTTAAAACGAGGTTCAAACTTTTGACGGGGAAGAAGAGTAATAATCTAGCATAAGTATGGTGTAGTGGCATAAGAATGGTTTTTTATCATGGCGAGGGAGACGGTAGAGTATTTATACATGGATAGTGGAGATGGTTATGGTAGGGAGTGGGTTGTGTAGGTAGTTTAGTAGTTATGGAAGGTAGAGTGAAGTATGGTGACGGAGATGATTGTGGAGATATTTTAGGGAGTGATTGATGATAATTATAGTAGTAAGAAAGGTTGCTTAGTGAGTCATGTGGCACACTTCGCGTTTCTAGCAGCCTGGGAGAGCTTAAACTAACTTCACGTGATCAGCTCGTGATACTCTATACTCGTCCCTCAATGCGGGACAACCTTGAACCCCTTCCAGACGAAGACTCGGACTTGCTCTTGGGCCTCCTGCCCTAGCCCATTATGAAGGCCCACTGCGGAGGAGATTATCCGCCATCACTCATCATGTTTAACACCAAGAATTTGACTAACATATATAGACAATCATTGTCTATGAAGCATTAATAGTCATTGTATGTACTTGTATGTGAAACCTTATAGTGTGCTTAGTTGGGAAAAGATTATTTTACCAAAAAACTTTAAATCTAGTTTCCCGTCTTTGGTAACATAAGAGAAAAATATTTTCTTCCATCAAGGTGAAAATACTTTCTATATGTTTTCGAAAGAAAATTCCTACACACTCCTCACACTCTCTTCCATTCGTCACCCATACCCTCGCCAACACCCACACCACCCCATGCCCCAACCTTTCCACCCCGCCCCTCCTACCCTACCACCCGTGCCAACCCCCATCGTGCCACCCCTACCCCTCGCTCCCTCCCACCTTGCATGTTATGCCCACTACACCCAACACGCTTGTCCACCGCCCACCCCAGCCCCCCTGCCCCATATCCCTCACCCCATTGTCCTTTGCCACTTGCCAACCCTTGACATCCATCATTACCCCTTCTCCCCCTCCAGCCCTTCCAACACCCCCATCTTATACGCTGCCTGCCTCCTATGTTGCTACAATAGTTAATAATTATTTTTAAAACATATATATTTTTTCAATATTAAATTTGAAATCTTAACAACTAAAAATGTTTTTTTAGAAAAAATAATTCACTTCCTACCAAACAATAGAAATTGTGGGAGGAAAATTATTTTCATTGAAAAATATTTTTCCTTGGAAAAAATACTTTTCTCGGAATATATTCCCCCACCCCAATCAAACACACTCTTAGTGTCAAATTTTATGAGTTTTGAATATTTTTGTTACTTGTAGTACGAAAAAGTAGATATTTTTAGTTGTACACAATGATTTAACCATGGCTAAGAGCACTGGAAATACGTTTGAAGCCCCGGGACCTCAAACCGGGGCTTCAAACTTTCTCTCTGCCACGTCAGCTTTAACTTATACCAAAAATTCACTGGAAATGGGTTTGAAGCCCCAGGGCTTCAAACTGGGGCTTCAAACCTTCGTTTTTTACATTTTTAAATATACATCTTCTAAATTTAAATTAATAAATTTAAATCAATTTATTATTTAATTATATTGAAACACGAATACTAAAAAATACATTCATTAAATTTAAAGAAATTGAAACGAAAATAATTTAAAATTTAAAAAATTATATTCATTAAAAAAATAAACGACAATAATAAAAAAGATACATTAATAAAAAACTAAGGTAAATTATATTTCGCCTTGATCTCTCTTTGTCTTTGCTCGTAGATCATCCGTTTGAAACCCGACAACGTAGAAAGGTCGGTTTCCATGATTTTGATCTCGTCGTCTTGCTCCTTTCGCTTCAACTCCTTCTCTTTTAGCTTCAACCTCTCTTCTTCTCGAAGATTGGACACCCGAAGTTGTTCAACCATTGCCTGACCAATTTCGTCGCGAGAAGAAACGGAAGCAGAGCCGGACCCTCCCGAACCCGAAGCAATGGATTTTGCCTTCTTTCTTCCGATCGGCCGTGGAATGGGGTCCTCGTCATCGGAATCCGCAATGTTGAAGGGAGGGATTTGATCAGACGAACCGATAGTCTCGTCGACCTCAACCTTGGCGTCGACGGAGGATCTTTTCTTTGACGATCCACCGTTGGGATTGTTGAGTTGTTGCCACTTCGGGGAACAACTCAAAATCCTCCAAAGATCGATGGGCACCTTGCCTTGGTGCCCGTCATCTTGATACCGGGTCGTGGCAAGCCAGAGAGCATCGGCGTCGTTCGTCCCGCTCCTCCAGGACCGGGAGCATTCCTCGTAAACTCTGATAAACTGTCGGACTTTACGGTTGATGTGGCTCCATTTGGAAGTGAGTTGGTCCCGGGTACAGTAGGAGCCTTCCTTGTTCATCGCCGTGAAGAATTTCTCCTCGATATGATCCCACATCGCATCCTTCGTTTGCTCCGAACCTTTAAAAAAGTATAACACAATTTTTTTAATGACATGATTAAATATAATTTTATATAAAAAAACATAAATATATTAGAAAAAATATAATTTTTACCAATGATAGGATGCTCGGAGACGTCAACCCAAGCCGACGCCAATAAGCACTCCTCCTCCGGCGTCCACTTTTGGATTGACCGTGCCGCCTCGGTCATCGTGCCTTTTGCTTTGTGGCTTTTCCGGCGTGTACTTTTTTTTGAGCCGGTCGGTTCCGGTTGAGTCTCTTGAACCGAATCTTGCTCGACGTACCCCGATTGTTGCGTCTCGAAGATCGGCGGTTGATCGCCCAACTCTCTGAAATACCACATCGCGGCATCGCTTGGCCGAGATTGTCGGGAAAAAAGCCGGAGCCGGAAGGATTCATGTTCAAAAGGGAGGGGGGGAGTTTGAAATTGAAGAATGTGTGAAGAAGATTGAAGAAGATTGAAGGTGTGAGTGAATGGGAGGGAGGTTTGAAATTTGTAATAAAAAAATTAATTTTCTTTTTTTTGTCTTCAACGGGTAATAGAGCCGTTAGGGGAGGAGGGGGAGGGGAAGCATCATCGTCAAAGGAATGACGGGGCCTGCTTCACGTCTGGGTAACACCACCAGGGAGCGGTGTTTAACACCCCGGGGTGTGAAAACCGCCTTCACGCCGTTGGGCGTGAGCGGTATACCCAGTGGCCTAAGAGTCATTGAAATGAAGAGTAAAGCTAATGCAACTCTAACATTTTGGGATTATTCCTGAATTCAAACTTTGCAGTGACATACACAAATAATAATTATGATCCGTCCAAAATTAGGAGTCGTTGGTAACTTAAGATATTAGGATTATCCTAACACAATCATGGATTATAATACCTTTCCTAACCGTGAGATGACGTAAGAAGGAGACTTAATGATTTGTCGGTTGCTCGAATTGGACCCAATCCACAACTAAGAATTGTGGGGTCCGACATTGAGTAGGAAACCTTGGTATCCTAGTCAGCTCCACGGAGTATTCTAGATCTTGAGAGAATGAAAAATGAAAACAATCATTGTATGGAGTAGGGACTATATTGGTTGAATTGTTTACTTGAATCAAATTATCTATTCATATATATATATTGTTCCAAACAAAAAAAATTATCTATTCGTATATTAGGTAAGTGCTTGTTTAGTTTTGATTTTTTATAATTAAAATTGATAAATTTTGAATATAAAATCAATAAAGTTGATATTAAGTACACCAAAGTTCCCATGACATTGCCCTATTAAGTATTCATTCAAAAGTAATTTTATTAAAAATTTAACTTTTTTATCTAATTAATGTTCCATGAAATTTTATATAATTACTGGTCAAACAAACATTCATCCTAGTTAACTGCAAAAAATTTAAACGAGACAAATAATCTTGGACAGAATAATTTATTTTAGTATCAAAGCACTTTAGGTTTTATTTAAGTATATAAAGTATGTTTTAGTCCTAATTAGGTAGTTTTTTCAAATTTGAGAGAAAGAAGATATATGAAGTTATAAACACACTCGTCATTTTGTATTCTAATGTTCAAATAATGTATACAAAAAAAATATATGGACAAAATAATAATCACAAAGCTTGTAATCCAATAAAAAATTTCTATTATTTGGAGCTCTTTAGCCCCAATCACACAGCCCCCAAATGGGGTTTGAAAGAATCTCAGGCAACCAACAACTCACTGGTTTCTTGAATACCAATCTGAGCTTTGCCCATACCCATACCCATACCCATACCCATAACCAAATCTTCCACCCTATGAATCAATGCAGACTCCATTGGTAACTTTCTTGAAATTTTCCCTATTGATGACAAAGCCAACATTTCAGACTCCTCAAGACCCTTTGCTTCTTCTCCCACACTACTTCTCTGTGTCCCATACTTTGCCAATGCATCCTTGAATTTCTTGATCTGAGTAAAAACAATAATCCCATTTTAGTTTAACACTTGTAAATCTTTTGACTCTTTTTTTTTTGTGGGACAATTGAAATGCTAACTAAAAGGTTAATGAGTTAGCTTACAGTTGCATTGGTACAACTGAAGCTGCAAAGCCTTCCCTCTGCTCCTCTATAGAATCTAAAAAATGGGAGGACATGTATATTAAGGCTATGGCACATGGGCTTATGTTCTTCATAGTTGACCTTTAGAAAAATTGCATTCTGGTTTGCTTCAGCCAATTGACATATCTGCCATTGTAAAATTTATAGTCAATAAACACATTTCATACCCCCAAAAAAAAGAATAGAATAATAGAGAGAAATCAAAACCATGGTAAAATTAAGGATGCATTCCCTAATTTTCTTTTTTAAGTTGTTAAGTAATTACATGTACAATACCTTAGGATGCAAGGCCTTGCAACCACCACAGCCCGGGGAATAGAAGTCTATAATGACCAATCTGTCCCCGGCATTTAGTAAGCCATCCACAAGCTCTTGTGTGGAATGAATCTCTATCATGTTAGGTTTAAGGGTCTTTTCCCACCATCTCATAGATCTGCTAACACAGAATGATGCTTGTGCCTAAAAAAAGTATTTACCAGAACAGAAAATCAGCAACAAAAAAGAAGAAGAAATTCTCAATTAAAGACAAGAAAGAAAAAAGATGAAGATTAGTTATCTGTACACACATTAACAGAGAGGGGTCTTGAAGCTTTGGCATTGGGACCTCTGAATCCTTTCTGATCTGATATAATCAAAGTCTTGCCAAGAAAATCATTTGTTCTTGAATCTGCAACTTGGACAGCCCCAACTGACAAAAGAGACCCTTTATTTCTAGAGCTCATAATGGTCTCACAAGACCCAGGAAGAGACAACCCATTCTTCAACAAACATGCCATCCCAAAACCCAAAAAAAAAATTGTCCTTTTCAAGCTTGTAGTTCCAAACAAGAAATTCCAAGAAAAAAAACCCCAAATTTTCCCCTAAAGATATCAACAACCAATTTGCAATAGCAAATGGCAACCAATAAAGAATGAAAAAAAAATGTCTTTTTTAACTAAAAAACAAGCACTGGTAGTTGGGAGATAAAGAGGTTAAGAAATATGGATGTGGTTCTGGAGTTTCTGGATTTGATTTTAAGGGCACGAAAATGGCTGGAGATGAAAAAAGACAGCACAAGGAAGAGACCTCTCCAAAAGGGGAATGAAAATTATTATTAGGTGGGAAGAGGGGAATTGGCACTGGGAATGAGGCATATGTGGGGACAAATGACATGGATATGCATCATAAACTTTATCCAAAACAAATTGGTTCATCCTGAAATCTAAACTCATGTATTTAACCACATGGTAACATCCCCACAGCTTTCAAATTCCAAATAAAAACAAGGTGAAACGAAGAAACCCTATAGAACAGAGTACGAGTACCTTAAAGTGCAGCTGGACTAAGCAAGTTGGCAACCCACTAGACCATTTCCTTATAAAACCTTGGCCGAAAAATTAAAATAAAATTTACATGTTTTTATCCCGAGATAAGAGTAATGTCAAAAGTGGCAACATATTAATATACAATACCAAAAACCAATGTGGAATGTCACAATAGAATAACCCTATTTAGAAAATAAAAACATAATATTTCATTTTGGAGATATAAACAATTGTTTATTTAAAATTACATTAAATTTGTGATTAAATATTTAAAGATAACAAAAATGTCAAACTAGGACGATAATTTTGAGACAAAGAGAGAGGGGAAAAAGACTAAAATAGGAGTAAACATAAAAATACACCAAAATAAGAGTTTCATATTTTTATTTCAACAATAAGAGTTAAAATGCATTTTTAGTGTCAATCATAACCATATATCTTTATATATATTGATGGTGTAAATTTAACTGGATAAGTCTGCCAAACACACCAGAAAATAAGAACACAAAAGATGACCTAGACCAGGAAAGATTTCTTGTGCCCGAAACTGTATTCCTTACTATGTCTCAAGAGTGTACAAATGTATGTATGAATGAATGTCCCTCCTCCACCTCTCAGATTTGTGTTCTACAGGAAAATTTATCTTGGTGGATCAAAACTGGAGCAACTAGGCATATATGTAAAGATAGACTCTCTTTCAAGACCTATAAAGAATGGTGAATAGTGCCCATTTTGGTTTGGAAAAGGATCTCCAACATCCCCTATGTTTTAAAAAGTACACCCTCCGTCCGGAAATACTCTTCCCATTTGACTTTTTACCGTATCCAAGATTGCACTTTGACCACTAATATCTTTATTTATTATGGGTACTCACTCCTTCCACAAATAAACTTCCCGTTGCGCGTTACGATGTTTGACTAAAGTTATTTTCAAATCATTTTATATGAAAAATGGTGTAAAATTTAAAAATAAAAATTACATATTAAAAAATTATATCAAAAGATCTACAAAACTAGAGGTGATATGACTATATTATTTGATGGTGTAAATATAGCGGGGTGGGTTAACCGGGTTTGACCTGGACACACTCGACCCGTAATATAAAACACACAACAAGAACGCAAAGTATGACCTAGACCGGGTAAATCTCCTCAGTCCGAATTATATTTCTTACTCTATCTCAAGAGTGAACTTTAGTGAGAGAAAAATTGGATCCCCTCGAGATAGGTTATAGTAGTATAAATATCTCCTCCTAAACACTGGAAGGGGACAAGTAGGTACCTGTTTTATCCTTCGAGCACCCTTCCAGTGACATCTATTTGGAAGCACTGTACAATCATGGACTTGCTACTAATACAACCAAAAAGCACTGTTCAATCAAAGACTAAAATGGATATTCTCAATCCAATCAACCCTGCAGAATGACAAACATCCCTTTCACTGTGTGCCTCGTGATGGATGAGCGGCGGGGTGTCCCCTTGACCTCTGACGTGCAGTGGTTCACCATGCCTAAGAGACTGGACCAATGTTAGCCAAGTAAAGTGATATGACCGGTCACCTTTTTTCTCAAAGGTTGACCGGTCATTTCTTGAGCTCAACCCGTCTCTTTGGTCTTCTTGAATTCTTCACAACATTAGGTGATATTTTGGCTATCGCCCAAAATGTGACCGGTCACTTTTTTAGTGGAAGTGACCGGTCAACTTTTGACCCGTCCCAATCAAAGAGTTAACCTCATTTGGTGATTGATAAAAGTGACCGGTCATATTTTGACCTGTCCCTTTCGGTTGTCCGGGTCGGGTATAAGGATATACCCATCAAGAAGTCCTTCACTTACCGGCCTTGTGAGGAAATCATCAAGGGCGGGAAGTATACTTATGTTGACCTATCATACTTTGAAATCATCAAATCACCCCTGCTGACCAGTCCTTTTTTTGTCGCCTAGTCTCTCTCATGACCTGTCCTCTTAAATCATCAAGCCTTTCCCTCTAAGACCTGTCCTTCTTTGGGATCATCAAGTCATTCTCGTTGACCTGTGTTTTTGAACCATCAAGCTTTTTCGTTTCAAGACCTATCCTTCTTTAAATTCATAAAGGCTTTCTTGTTGACCTGTCCTTTTAGACCCGTCACTTTTGTAATTATCAAACCTTTCTCTTTCAAGACCTGTCTTTCTTTGGATTGCCAAGCCTTTCTTTTTCAAGACTTGCCCTGTCCTTCTTTGAAATTGTCAAGCCATTCCCATGACCTTTCTATGGACACCTGCCCATTTCTTGGATTCACCGTCTTCATACCAGACCTGGCATTTTTGGATTTGTAGACTATGAATCGTTACCTGTCCGTTTGGATTTGTGGTAGCCCAATCGTTGGGCCTGGCCTTTTGGTTAAGGAATTTCCCTCCAAAACCTTTCACCTTCCACCTTCAAAATTCAAATTTCCCCCCTCACCATTACCTTATCCACGTGTCAGCTCCTCAGCCTCCCACCTGTCGCCTCGAACTCCAAACCGCCTCTCTCTCTCCTATAAATATTCCTCCAACCCATCTCATTTCTTCACTTCTCTCCTTCGTTTCTCTTGATTTGCCCGGTCTGCTTTCTCTCTCTAGCTTCTCACCAAGTAAGTGCTCCAGTCCTCCTAGTCTTTTATTTTTCATCTTCCCTTTTTTAACCGGCAACATCATGTCTTCTGATAGCCAAAACATATCCGGTCAATCTTATGGGTCAGGCTCTCAGCCCTCTTCTTCTTCTCACT